TACGCCAAACAGCTCTACCTCAACCTTTCCACCCTCGCTCCCTTCGTCGCCGGCCCCAACTCCGTCAAGATCGCCACACCCCTTAAGGATCTCGAAGGCCCAAAACCTCAAGCTCGACAAGGCCTACCTCGTCTCTTGCACCAACTCGCGCGCCTCCGACATTGCCGCCGCCGCCCGCGTGTTCAAGGAGGCCGCCTTCAACAACAAGGGCGTCATCCCCAAGGTCGCCGAGGGCGTCAAGTTCTACATCGCCGCCGCCTCTCTCCTCGAGCAAAAGCAGGCCGAAGACTCTGGCGACTGGCAAGTCCTTCTCGATGCTGGCGCCGAGCCCCTGCCCTCCGGCTGCGGTCCTTGCATCGGTCTTGGCACAGGTCTTCTCGAGCCCGGTGAGATCGGCATCTCTGCTTCCAACCGTAACTTCAAGGGTCGCATGGGTTCTACCGACGCCAAGGCTTACCTCGCCTCTCCCGAGATCGTCGCCGCCTCCGCTTTGAAGGGCAAGATTGCCGGTCCCGGATGGTACCAGAAGCCCGAGGGTGTCGAGAAAGTGATCATCGGCGAGGGCAACGGCATTGTTGAGCAAGACAAGGCCATGTCCATCGAGGATGCTCTCGACAAGATCATTGCGGAAGCTGAGTCCTTGATCGCCGCCGCTGAGGCAGAGACCACCACGACGGAATCCACCTCTACCCCAGAAGGCGAAGAGTCCCTAACCGAAATCCTCCCCGGCTTCCCCGAAAAGATTTCCGGCGAAATCATCTTCTGCGACGCCGACAACATCAACACCGACGGCATCTACCCCGGCAAGTACACCTACCAAGATAACATCACCCCGTCCAAGATGGCCGAGGTCTGCATGGAGAACTACGACCCCTCTTTCGGGTCCATCGCCAAGGCGGGCGATATCCTGGTAACAGGCTTTAACTTTGGCTGCGGCTCTTCCCGCGAGCAGGCCGCTACTGCTATTCTCGCTAAGCAGATCCCGCTTGTGGTATCGGGTTCTTTTGGAAATATCTTTTCGAGAAACTCGATCAACAACGCGCTGATGGGCGTCGAGGTGCCCAAGCTTGTGCAGAGACTTAGGGAGGAGTTTGGCGAGAAGACGTTGACGAGACGCACGGGGTGGAAACTCACCTGGGATGTGAGGAGGAGCAAGGTCGTTGTTGAGGAGGCCAATGGCAAGAAGTGGGAGCAGAAGGTTGGTGAGCTGCCGCCGAATGTGCAGGAGATCATTGCTAGGGGTGGGTTGGAGAAGTGGGTTAAGAGTCAGATTGAGGCTTAGACTCGGTTCTAGGTCGCGTCTGCTGGAAGAATTGAATAGGTGTAGAGGTAGAAGGTGGAAGGTGAGATATGATGGGAGGAGAGATGGCAGAAGACAGGATAGATAAAAGTACAGTACAGGTAATCCCGATTGTAGATGGGATAGAAGAAGGGAAAAAAATACAGAAATGATATCCCTTGTATATATGTACACGATTGTGTAGATGTCTTGCCGTACGGGGCGTTTTGAAAGTTGTTTTCAAGGCGCGGGAAGAGAAGGCGTGTACCACCTCCAGATATATCTGCGCTGATGACAGATACATAGAGAAATGTAGACACCATACCTGGAAAACGAAGTGACAAAAGGCCCAGCTCCAACCAAAGACAGCGTGATAAAACCCTACTCGGGTTCGGGCTGGTAATCAAAGCAAGTGGAAAGGGGGCGGAAGTTTATGTTATGTTGCACCATTATGTATTGTCCCTCTGTTTTCCAGCTGTGCTCTTGCATTTCCCTATGGAGGTATACTTCCTGGTAGCTTCAAAGTCTGCACATTATTGGCCTTTGACGAGCGTTAATGGGGGGAACTTGCTCGATGTGCTCTTCCTCTTTCATGCCGAATTGGAGTACGCATGGTTGAGGCTTGAGTTGAGAAGTGTTAAGTGAGCCGGAACCGTCCTGTTCGGCCCCCTTGAACCTCTGCTGGCCGCTAGGTCCTTGGTCTGATAACTCTACACCACAAATTGGGAAAATAAGATAATTCAAGGGGGTGCCGCCAGTGAAGGCGGTCTTGTAGTATTTTACTATTAAATGAACGTGCTAGACTCTTGTTCAGATATCTCCCGAAATCCAGTCCCGAGCATCCTTAGGCTGACTGCTATGGCATATCTCTGATGTTGCCTTTCCTTTCCTTTCCATGAACAAAAAGAAATACCAAAACGCCTTGATATATGAAAACCAGATCACCGCAAGCCACATCCCTTCTGTCGCCATCTGCTCATTTTGTTGTGTCCTCCTTTCTTACACCACACCACCACTTCTTTCCCTTCCTTCTTTCCACAAACAACCCTCCTCATACCCTTAAACCTTACTATCCTCGGGAACCTCCCTCGTCTTTCCCCTCCCAAACATCCCCGCCAACTTCGAAGGCCTCTTCACCCCCGCCGCCTTATCCATCGCATACTCCTTGGCAAACCCAAACGCCTTCTCCTTCATTGCCGCCGGATTATTCTTCATCGCCAGCAACTCATCCAGCGGATTCTCCCTCCTCACAAACAACATGACGGGCATCGTCAAGACAAAAAGAAACATGAACCCGAACGCCATCCACTGCAACACCTGCAGCGTCACGCCCTCTTTCATCAAAATGCTGCTGCCCTGAATATGCGCCGTCGCGTGTCCCAAAGCACCAGCCGTCTCGGTGGTACCCAGGCACGCAGCAAACACAATCATCAGACCCGCGTACATGCTTGAGTAGAACCCGCGTCTGATGACCATTTGTTTTTTTGTGAGGGGTGTGTCGATCGCTAGCTTAGCAAGCGGCTTTTTGACCATAAACTTGTAAGGGAACATGAGCACCAGACCCATCGCAAACAAGGCTGATCCCGTAAGCAAAACTTTGCCAAAGATTTGGTCCTGCAAGTCCAGCCCCGTCAAGACCATATTTTGGAGTTCCGGGATCGCGCCGCGCGCGTTGCTGTTGTTCATTACTTCCGGAAACAGAAGCTCCGTGAGGGTGATGATATCCTTTGGCTCGTCGGGGTCGTAATGGCCTGCTGCTGATAAGCAGGTGCGCGTGTCGCCGTCGTCGCCGCACATGCCGAAGTAGCCGAGGCGGACTTGCATGTTGGACAAGGTGCCGTTGGAGGAGGAGGTCAGGGCCACGACGTAGAGGGAGGGGATGGTGGGTGCTGACGACAAACAGCCGGCGAGGGAGAGGCACAGGAAGAGGACGGTGGGGATTATGAATGTCAGGGGGATCAGTTTGATGAATTTGAAGGCGGCTGTAAGGGTACGAGGGTGGATGTTAGTGGTGGATTTTCTGAGTTGAGGTGTTGGTGTTGGTGATGGATGAGGGAGGGGAATAGGAAGGGAAGGGAAGAAAGACTTACGCCCATATTGAAGGTTTATCCACCCTTCTGCTACACCTTTGACCAGACCTTTGACATTCATCTTGTCGGAGTTGTGATGTGGTTGGAAATGAGATGTGTTTTGTTGTAGTAGAAGATTATGCGAATACGGTCTTGGTGATTCCGTGAAGGTTGTCCCGCAAGCCAGTTATCGAGGAGTTCGTGAGATCGAGATCAGGATCGTGATTCGATAGAGAGCGAGAGTCGAGTGAGAAAGGAGAATAATGTTGACCAGCAACAGTTTGATTATTTGAGTATGTTTTGTTGAAAAGGGAAAGTTGAAAAAAGAGTTGAACCAGAACTCCTTTGAAAAATGCTGAAGGACGTAGGAAGGTTGATGACCAGAAGCGCTTGAAGAAATAGGAAAGGAAACCCGAACACAAAAGAAAGGAAAGGGAAAAGTGAAGACCCAACAACAAACAATGCGTTGGCAGTTGTTCTGTGAACTGTTTATGGAACAATGGGAAAAGGAACGGAACCGGACCGTCTGATATATACAATACGTTTCTTCCCCGTGGTCATCCACCCCATGGGTCATGGGTTTATTGACGGGAAGGGTTATGCGCCATTGTGGGTCGTCCAGCAACCCTGTTACTGTCCATCCCAACCGTTCATCTGAAAAACGGCTTCTCAACCCTGAATAGGTAGTCTGTCATGCAATTTTTTGGAAATGGTCCATGGTGTGAACAACACATCAAGAGCCCAGAGCCGGGGAGGGAAACACGGGATGCGAATCATCCACGCGCCTCAACCACTGGGGCACTGGCGGCAGTGAACACGACCGGCCTTGTAGGGATTCTACCGCGTGAAGTAACCTGGGAATGTCATTGAAAGTCCACGGCTTCCATACAAACTGATTCGACGAGGCTTCTTACAAGGTAATGTTTGAAGAAGCGCGTGGTGAATCCGGAGTGTATGGATGTCGTTCGTCGATTGTTTCTCTGACTTTGTTTCTGTCAGCGATTCGACCAGACAAGCGCACTGCTAAAACGATGCCCCACCTGGTCCCTGGCTCAGCGCTTGAAGTGGACAAGCGGGTAGAATGGGGTGATCATTGTGACTTCTGATTGGACATACGGCTTCATTTCATCCTCAATCGGAAATCCGTGAAACAACAACGTCAAAAATAGACCCCTGCTATTGTTGTCCACTGTTAGCGCGCGGGGGATCTCCCCCAGACTCCTCCAAACCCCCAGACCCCCCATTGTTTCCCGCTGTCGTCCAAACTTTTGAAGAAACAACGACGACCAGTCATTCACTTCACATCATCAATCTTTAAAACACTCAGTAGCAGTGATTCATGGTTCATCGACTTCATCAACTGCAACCCTTTAAATGACAGGTCTCGCCCACTCGACAGACGCGCCGCCGAGGTCTCGAATGCTCTTCTTTGTCCCGTCACGCGTCAAGAATGTCTTTGACAGCTGCCAACAACAGAACAGTGAAGAGGA